AGCAGGGAGAGCATGGCTGCCCGGCCTTGAGCCTCACGAGCCTCCCTGTGCCCGCACAGGGCGCTGCAAGGACACGCTGTCCACCATCTCGGGACCCACCACTCAGAACACCTATGGGCGCAACGAGGGGGCCTGGATGAAGGACCCCCTGGCCCAGGAGGAGCGGATCTACGTCACCAACTACTACTACGGGAACACGCTGGTGGAGTTCAGGAACCTTGACAACTTCAAGCAAGGTGGGCTTGCACCATCCCTGGTGCTGCACCGGCCACCGCTTGGCTGGTCTAAGTAGCATCCCTGGGATGCTGCTTTGCTCTGCCCAGGGACGCTCCCCTCTTGGGCAGCAGTACCCGCGTGGGCTTCAGAGCCTGGGGCAGGTCAGGCTGCCCATGGTAGCTCTGAATTTGCTTGTTACCTTGCCAGGCTGTGGCTGGGGGCAGAGGGTACTGGGGATGGGGCCACCAACCCCAAAGCAAAAGAGTGGTCTTGCCAGCAAGGTGTCTCTGCCTCACAGGTCGCTGGAGCAACTCCTACAAGCTCCCGTACAGCTGGATTGGGACAGGACACGTGGTCTACAATGGCTCCTTCTACTACAACCGGGCTTTCACGCGCAACATCATCAAATACGACCTGAAGCAACGGTATGTGGCCGCCTGGGCCATGCTGCACGACGTGGCCTACGAAGAGTCCACCCCGGCCACTCGGACGTGGACTTTGCCGTGGATGAGAATGGCCTGTGGGTCATCTACCCGGCCATCAGCTATGAGGGCTTCAACCAGGAGGTGATTGTGCTGAGCAAGCTGAACGCGGCCGATCTCAGCACCCAGAAGGAGACCACGTGGCGAACGGGGCTGCGGAAGAACTTCTACGGGAACTGCTTTGTCATCTGCGGGGTCCTGTACGCAGTCGACAGCTACAACAAGAGGAATGCCAACATCTCCTACGCCTTTGACACGCACACCAACACACAGATCATCCCACGGTTGCTCTTTGAGAACGAGTACGCCTACACCACGCAGATAGACTATAACCCCAAGGACCGCCTGCTCTATGCCTGGGACAATGGGCACCAGGTCACCTACCACGTCATCTTTGCCTACTGAGATCCCCCCCACCACAGTGGGGCACTGCGAGCCAGGGGCCACCAGCACCTTTTATTCTTATTTTTATTGTTATTATTGTTATTTTGTACAAATCAGAGTAAATGATGGGTTTTGTTTCCAGCTGGTTTTTTTTTTTCTTTTTTTTTTTTTTTT